TAACAACTTACTGCACTGTCAGGTAATAAAAATATACAGAAATATCTTCCTACATGTACCAAAGGAGTTCTATTAAAGACATAACAAGTCTAAACCACTCCAGTTCATTCTACAGTCAGGCAGAGCAGGAGCACACACAAGCCTGCTCATCCCTGGAGCTGAGGAACCAGCTTTGCTCCAGATTGTCTTGCAAAATTCAGGCTGTTAAGGAAGGGATAGTCCCTCTCCACACTGCATGGCTCATTCCTTAACCCATTTCCTGCTGTTAAGAGGTGGGGAGCTCCCAAACAAACAGATTAATTCCGCCTGGAAACCTCAGGAATGAAGCAAGAGAAGCTGTTCCTCAGTCCCTTAAAAACATACCCCAAAGAGATCCAAAGGGTAAACCCCCCCCAGTCTGCTCCTCACCCGGTTTCTGATCAGGCTCGGGCCAGGACTTGCGCAGGACATGGACGGTGGAGCCGGACTGGATGCCATAAAAATCCAGGGTCTGGTCATCCCTCAGCTTCCGACCACAGTAGATCAGGTCTAGGGGGAGAAACACCCAAAGATGAACATCTGTGACCCCCTCAGAAAGGACTGAGGGTCTAAGTGTGACTTAGAGCTCTGGGGGTTATTGCTGCAGCTGCTCCATCTTGCCAGGGAACAACACAGGGAAGCTGTGGAGCTGAGGTTCAGGGAGAAAATCATGGAGTTGATACACAGAACGTGACTTTGCCACCTCCCCCTAGAAGAGCCAACCTCTCTCACAGTTCTCATGAGAGATCTCACCAGGACACAGAGGTGTTTGGAAGCCCAAAGACTCCTTAACGAGGGCACTGACACCACTGGAGCTCTGTGATCCCAAGAAAGTAGGGAATATTCTATCCAAACCACATGGTATCAGATTTCTGTGTGCAGCAGAGCCCCTGCAGCACACTCTGAGTCCTCACCCCGTGTTATCCGGCGGTGCTGAGCCCTCCCACCACCACCACCAGCAGGATGTTGTGTCCCAGCCGCAGCGAGGACGGGAAAAGGG